GACTCCAGGGGGAACCCTTGGAGCTCAGTGACAAAACGCAGATATAGTAGTGTAACTGCCAGGTAGCGTGCTACACCCCGTACTTTGTTTACTGAGCTGAGTAACGACAGCAGTGTTGCGGCACCCTATCGGCTGCAGATTTAAGAACTGCCGTGTAGGGATTTAAGACAAACACAACTCTTTTGACTTCTGTCCACTGACACCCCCCCACCTCTCTTGTTGTAATTGTTTGTTCCACACACAAACTCACATGAGGCAAACATTTCTGTAACAGGAGAATCTTGTCGCAAGTTAGTGTTAAAGTGTTTTGAGACTTGTTGGTATTGTCTAACAAACAAAAAATATATGTATATATAAATATATACAGTTTACTGAATTGCTAATTTATCGGTGATGACATCGTGCCATTTGCTTCCAAAAAACAAAACAAAACTTGTGAACGAACGTTGGGGGGGTAAGGTGCTCTTTGTGTTACTATTTTTTTAATTTAAGCGTATTTCCTTTTCTCAAAGTCTACCTAGTACAATCTATTACAACACTAAGATGAAAATATAGAGTAAATTATTTTGTATCGCTGCCCAAACAATAGGACTTGTAGGTGTCACTGCCTTCCTACGATGTAGCCTCAAAGTCTCTCAAACATTCTGCTCCAATCTTTGTGTTTTTTCCCCATTTTTTTGACAGTAGCTTTCTAGAAATCATCAGTAGAAGCTTTTTATTTTTTTGTGGCAGTTTTAAGGCAAACCTGTTCGTTTGCAAAACAAAACAAAAAAACAATTTTTTGACATAAAGTGTCAGTTTTTTGTGTTGTTATTTGAGAGGAAAGATAAACTTGCCTTACCTCTTTTAAAAAGCAGTTGCCCGTGCGGCGACTCAGCAAAGCGACTAACTAACTGCTTGGGAATTTGCAACCACGTGCAAGCTAAATTTTTTTGCCTTTTAAGCAACTTTAGTACAGTTTTGTTTCTTTCCTGGTCACGACTCTATAAGCTAGAAGCACTAATACGCTTTATGGTAGTATTTTTTGTTATGGTTGTGTTTGAACAAAAAGCCCATTTGTTCTTTATTTTCAGTACCTGTAACTGTCCTTGTTAGACCTGTAGACGGTAGTATTTTCTTTGGCATGAATGTTTGACATATGCAGTACGACCTGTGTCAATAAAAGAAAACGTTCAGTCTGTATTGCGAATAAGTGCTTTTAAAAAACAACAACAAAAACAACCATATAGCTGAAATAAAGGCCTCCGTGAACCAAGAGACATTAAAGTCTCTGTTTGTTTTTAGATTCTCCTGAAATTTTAATGAGCTTTTCTTATGTTTGTTTTTGTTTTAAAGTTGAGTTCACATGTTAGGGTCCTATAGGCGAGAAAATTAGCATTTTGTTGCTTTTCTCCTGCTGTGCAGTGTCTGCCCTCGCAGAGGAGACGGGTGGCCCAGAAGGGAGGCGAGAGGTAATTGAAAATGCTAACACCTCATAATGACTCAGCACCAGCGTGTGATAGGTCAGCTATGCTAATCAGAAAGAGACAGAAAAGCGCAAGAGTGGGGTGCGGCGCGGTGGGTTTAGGGAGTTTAGAGTGATGCATCTTCTCCGCTGAGCAGTGCGACAGCAGGGCATCTCCTGAGCAGTGAGAAATTATGACCAAAGGCCATTTATGTTCTAGCTCATTGACTAGTCCATTCATAACCTGGACGTCTTTGAGCTTGTCTCACATGCAGCAGCAGTATACAGCTGCTCAGAGTGAGACATCCATCATGCTGTCACCCTCTCACTCAGTGAACACTGTACAGGAGGCTCTGACAACTTTTTCATACCATCTTGGACTTTTTGCACGAGGCCCTTACAGATGCTGTAAAGTCTCCTGGCAAGTCTGTGATGCTTGGTTATTTATATGCAAGCACTAGTCTTTAAAACAGTAGAAGACCATATGGTTGACCAGCTACATTGTTATACAGAGTCGCTAGCCTAAATCTAATTTAAACTACGTGTCAGTGGGATAAAAGCGACATACTTTCTTTTATGGATGGATAAAAGTGGTGTGGTTGACACAAATCTGTGGAGGCTTGCTTCCACCACTGGGAGTGGATATCTACGAGTCAAAATTTTTACCTACTAACTCAAACTTCTGATAAAATAACTTCAGTGGCGGGAATGTGCTTCCATAAAGTCGTTTCTGGTTAAAAAGGCTAAAGCTGGAAATTTCCTAGCAGTAGCAGGTCATAGGCTTGACTACCAGTACACATTTACACACACACAGAGGGCAACAAGTTACTTATTTTTCTGAGACTAGTAAGAAACTGAACTGTTTGACTGATCTCAGCCTCATCTGGGGTCAGCTGTGAAGCCGTACCTTATTGCCCAACGATGTTGCAGACATCATTGCTTCTCTGGAAATGTCTTTCACAAGAGTGACTTTGGTTTGGGATATTCAACCATGACATGTGAGTGTAATGTTCGCCTCATAAAGCCATAAATCATTTGAATACCATTACAAAACTGGCTGGTGGAGCCAGACTACTCTGTGTATATCACTCTTGACTGACTGCAGACCCCGCTGCCATGCTGACTGACAGTCGGGGTGCCGGAGACGCTGCTATCTCTCGCCTTGCCGCTGCCTGATCCTGGGGAGCATCCCTGACCACCTCACCCACCAGTTTCAGCTGCTTGAAGACTCCAGTGTTTGCTGACGAGGCTGCGGGGGCCTGTTACTCCCACACCGGGGGGTCAGCTAATCCACTCGCTGCCCCGCGGAGTGTGAGTGATGGTGGCCCAGCACGGGCAGGCTTGAGTGAGCAGCAGATAGATATGAAACAAACCCCCGGAGAGCGGACCGGGGCGACCACGATCAGGAAAATGTCTGCTACCCCGCTTCGAGCCTCTGCTGTGATGACTGAGAAGGGTCAGTGACATCCATCTGTCGGAGGACTGAGCAGGGGGGAGGAAGGTGTATGGCTCCCCACCCCCTCAGGCTTCGCCCTTGGCACTGGCTCTGAAGTTATGACCCGACAGACAGAAATAAATGCACTCCACACACATCTAACGTGGAGTGAAGTTCCTCACAGGGCTTGCACATGCAGAGCTCAGAGCACATCACAAGGTGGCAGTACACCCAGCGACTAAACACTACTGGTCTCTGCTGTCATGAAGGGCCTTGTATTTGTGGACAGCAACACAGTCTGTTTTGGTTTTAGACACCATTTTTCCTCATCCTGCCGCTCCAAAACGACCGCACCAGTTTAAATTTACGAATGCATGCAGAACATGACGAGCTGTGATCCCACGGGTCCTCTGCTAACTGAGCAAAAACGTACCCCTGGACCCAGAGGTAACACGCAATGAAAACAAGTTTACTTATTGCACATGAAATGCATTTTTTCTGAGTTATCTGTATCGACTGGTGAGTTTTGTTTAGTTTTTTTTTTAAAAAGAAGGTAAACTTGGTGTGGGTTTAGACCTCGAGCCATTTCTTAGTGTAAACAGCATTGGAGAACTTCAGACTTCAAAAGCTTAACGTTTTCTGAGCTTCAGAAATCAATTGCTCCATGACTCCAGTCGGGCCACACAGAAAGACGGTGAAAATGCTTTCATCCATCTTGCTGTGGCCCGGTTGGGCTTTTCCTGCCATGTTGGAAGCATTGATCTCTGACTGTCTGAAGGTCCTCTCTCTCTCTTTCTCTCTCATGTCATGCAGTTCAGAAGTCTGGCTGAATTTATTGTCTCAGTTTATGGTCGGGCTGAGCAAAGTGCAATCTGGTTGTCTGGACAAACTCTTCGAGGACCAGAGAAGAAGGGAGGGACGTGACAAAGGGGGCCTGGATTTGTACATTGCTGCATTTTGGGATCACTTTTTTTTTTTTTTGTAAAGGAATTTAACACAGTAAATTGTTGACAGACATGAGCAGTTTTATTTTTAACCACTGGCACAATAAAGATAAAATGTCTTTATGTTTGTCAGTTTATAGTTGTTTTTTAAAGAAATTAATTAAAGTCATTCGAATGGCGCGATATGATACAATCCTTCACGTGTTTTCATGTGTTTATATGGTGACGGTGGTGGTGGGGGGTGTACCTGCAAGCTCCACCTTAGATAGTAAAGCCATAAACTCAGTTATCCTCTACCTCAGATCCTTCTTCAAAACATATAGGCCCCCGACTTGCTGATTGCTTTATTGATATCGATCTGGGCAAAGTGTCGAACCACTTGTTCATCTCGGTCAGAAGCGGTTAATCGGTATTTATCCAATGGGAGGAGATGGGGGAGGTCGACACAAACAACGTCTGAATGAAACTGAGTCCTGTAGGTATAAGGGCATAAGGGAGCAGGAGGCTCAGTGCCAGTTTATCAGGTACTCTGTATTAACGCAGAAGACCTGAAACACGTGTCCACAGTGAGCCGTCACAAATACATCCATAAAAATAACCAGGCGAGCTTTAAAACGCCAATCAATAATCCATGCAGTGGACTGCACAGACATGTAGTTTACTGAAAATGTCAAATGTCTATGACAGAACATGGAAAATAGTAAATGTAGTGAAAAAAATGCAACAATCTATAGAAATCTCATCATAAAACGACTGCTGTCAGGACATAATCACTTAAGAAATGAAGCTTTACGACCCTTTTAAGCAACACAAGTCAATACAAGTGAGCTCAATATAATCCAGTATACTAAAAATGAAATGACATACAGCCGTAATAGCAGTCGCTGTAAATGATAACAGTAGATTACAGGGAACAAGTCAATAGTAGCTTTTCATTTAAATGTTATTGGGCTCTCCAATTTGCTTCCCTCTGTCTTTCACACCTTTCCTTTCTTAACCTTGGACTGTAAGTAATCATGAGCAACTGTATTCAAATGGTTTGCCGCCGAGGGATTATTCATGCCCATTCCTAATCTTAATTTGATGTAACATTAGAGAATTTGCCTATACTAGCACAAGCGTGGAAAAGTATGCTGCTATATCACATCCTT